CAAAGCTTTAGTTTACACAATTAGGTTAATGCAAGCCATCTTTTAAAATCTCACTTTCATTCCTGAATTTCAGAGAATACTACTTAAAAGTGGGATTTTTTTTTTTTAATTATACTTTATCAGATAGATTTGAATGTGATCTAGTACCTTCAGGTTTCTTAATTTTTTCTACTGGTGTAGGTACTGGTTTAACTTCTGGTTTAGGTTCTTTTTCTGGTTTAGGTTCTTCCTCTTCTGGTTTTTTTTTAAGAACTTTAAAAGAAAAGGAGTTTCAGTTTTTAAAGGACAGGTAAACAGAAGAATAAGATGGTGAATAAGACAAAAGATTAAAAATATATCATCAATCATGAAGAAACAAGAATGTAAAAGATATAGTTCAATATAAATGGAAGATTTTGTGTAACTATTCAAGTTACTATTCTGAAAGCCTTTTAAAATTCAAAGTCATCTAGAGCAAAAATATGTTTTTATTAAGAGCAGTCCATCTGAGAGGAAAATGTCGATGTTAACTGTCTATGATAGAATACAATTTCTTATATTTTATCATGTATTTCTTATCATATTTAAATGATGACTTACTATACATAATTATACATTAATAACTGCAGTTACAGATGATTTTCAGGGACAAAATGCAGGATTACGGATTAAACTCCTATTGACTTTAGTGAGACAACAAGACTAAATCATCAAGTGTTATATTTGGAGAGCTCAAATTTATATAATGTCTGTTTTTCATTTCACTTATTTTACTTATTTTTGTCCTGTCAGGTATCAGTCTTGGATATCTAATGAGACTGTCATCTGCAAAACTGAGTATCTATATTTTATTATGTTGTCTGAAATTTGAAGGTCAGCTGCAAGGTAGATGGGCATGAATCATCCCAGTGTGGTGTTTCAAAGAGAATTTGAATTAGTGCTTCCTTTTTCTAAGCAATAATTGAGCATGAAGTGATTCAGAAGGCTCCAAACTTTGCAGGAAAGGGGACTGATGTCCAATAGTAGCACGGGGTTCTGTGATCTGTGTAGTACTTCTAAGAAAACCATAAAAGAGAATACAGATGCTATATATGTGACTTTAATAACAATTACACTATCACTGGGAAATATTTAGGGGTCCAGAAGCTGAAGACAGTGGAAAACTATCAACTCTAGTATAGGCTTTACAAAGATTAAAAAAACAGAAGAGAGTTATAGGGAACCAGATTTTCAGTGTTCTGCTCTGTTTTCATCACAGATCCTTTGGATCTGACAGATTTTCAGGATATCCTCACTTCATCCCTGCAACTATAAAGGCTTTCCCCAAGAAACAGACACCAGGTAGTACTTTGTGTAATTTTCCGTATCACACACATAAAACCATGTTACTTAGGGGAATATACTGAACAATGTTAATATGTTGGGTTTTTAAAAAAGAGCCAAGTTACTATACCTCTTTTCAAAACAACTTCTTCTTTTGGTGGAGGAGTGACTTCAGGAATTACTCTGCGAGGTTTCTTTACAAGTCCAGGCACTTAAAAGAATATTATTCCAGATTTTATTATGGGTTCATAACAGTAGTAAGAGTAACCAACAACTAACCATTCCAAACACACAAATCGAATGCTGGTCCACTACTGAATATTAAAAGCAAAAGTAAAACTGCTGAGATTGAAGTTGATAGTTTTAATACTTTTTCTATATTATTTGCGTACAGTTGTCTTCTAGGCTTATGCATAAGAGGAAATTTTCATACAAACCAACAAAAGAGAAGTATGATTTGACAAAACTATAAAGGTTATGTATTAAAAGAGAGTTATCATAGTAACATTTTTATCTCCTTTTCCTCTTTCATTACAGTCTTATGTTACATATCTATTCATCTGAACTATGACGTTCATAAGGATGCAGTTAGTTTAATTTCTAAACTTGGAACAGCATTAAGAAAAGATGTTCACTGCTTAGCTGCTTAACTTGTCTTAAGCTCCAGTACATATGAAAAATATAAGGGAGTACTTGTAAAGTGGCTTGCTCAATTCATTATTCATGTCCATCTCTGGAAAATGTCATCTCACAAAAATAAGTTACTTTTCAGACAAATAATAAACTAAGTATGTTTGAACAACGCAATATATATTTAAACAGTATATTATTTTTTATTTCTCCCTAAGCAGAGAACCAAAGTAAGCACCTACACAAGTGACAGAACTCTTAAAAACCCTCTCGCTCTTCTGTGATTCTGTCTCTTGCATCTCATGAACAAATGTCATCTCACAAAAATAAGTTACTTTTCAGACAAATAATAAACTAAGTATGTTTGAACAACGCAATATATATTTAAACAGTATATTATTTTTTATTTCTCCCTAAGCAGAGAACCAAAGTAAGCACCTACACAAGTGACAGAACTCTTAAAAACCCTCTCGCTCTTCTGTGATTCTGTCTCTTGCATCTCATGAACTGCATGATGGGAGATTAAAGTGGACATAAGTATAACATGAACATATACACCCAAGACTGGAGTCCATTGTTGAGCATAATCTAACAGACAGCTTTTTGATATTACTGAGCAAATTAAAGAAGAAGAAGATACCAAGAACTACAACTTTGGGCTCATGAGAGGCTTAATTTAAGTAAGATTCTTATATTAGCTAGGTACCTTTAGCAGGTGGGGGTTCCAATTTTGGAGGCTCACCAGGTTTTGCAGTCACAACTTTCTTCCTTGATCCAGGAGCTTTAAAGAAAATTATTTGAATTTTATCACACACATCATTAGATTCAAAAAAGAAAAGAACTTTCTAAAAAATCCAAACAACTGATTAATACTATTGACATAATAGAAAGACAAGAGCTACAAAGCTAAGATTCTGGCTGATTAACCATTTAGAAGAAGCCAGATGATCTGTAGGAAGCACAGCTGATCTGAAACCCATGTTCATATAGTAACACCAGCAAATTATTGCTGGGGATTCTTTTCATTTGTAAGAAAATGTTAAAGATAGAAGAATTATGTTAAGGATAGAAGAATGTATTAACTTGGTTAAGATATTTTTAATAAATTGATTTTTTCCTTTACTATTGAAAAGAACCCATGTAAACTGACTTGGGATAACACTGCTAAAAATCATGAGGGATTGAGCATCAGTAAGGCACACCATTAGAGCGATAGTAAATTAGAAAAGAAAAAACCCAAGATCCAAAGTGATATGTTTAAAAGCATGCTTTTCAAGATTCATCAGTATAATTTAAAAGGATTATAAGCTTGAGTTCCCACCGTTAATTGTGGCTTCAGGTGATTATACCTTTAAGTAGTTCTTTTGCCAATTTAATATCTTCTGTTGGTGGAGTAGGTGGTGGTGGTAGTGGTTTTCGCTTTTCAGGGATCTTCTTTTCAGGTTCTGGCGCTTTAAATAACATTAGGTAGATTTAGTGTAAATTTACTACCACAGTAGTTATGTGAAAAGTAATGTACAAATGTAAAGATGGTCATTTTCCATTTCCAATGAAGCCAGTGAAAAAACCTCATTGAACTAAATGGGACTATGCAAGAGCTTTAGGCTATTGCTTTGTAGCATGCACACAAGACAAATATCCAAGTTGACTTAAAAATGCATGTTAGTAACATGAGAACAAAGGTGGGAAACCAAATGACGGGAAGACTCTCATTGACAAGAAACAAAGTGAAGGCATTTAAAATAATCTGTATGTTGTATTTAGAATTAAGAGATCAGAACTAATTTCCGAAACATAATAACAGAGGAAGAATTACACAGAGACCTACAACATACAGGTACATGTGCGAAGAACGACAGAGCAAGAAAAAAACTGCACAGTAATGAGAGAAAGGTGTCCAGCAGCCTCTAGGTAGGTACTTTGTATACCTTCAACTGGTAAAGCTTCTTCTACTTCTGCAACTGGAATTTCTTCTGCTTCTTCAGGCTCAATCTCCTTTACAATTTCATATTCTTTAAAGAATATTGACAACTGGTGTAAGTTTCCCATGATAAGATCATTTCACATGAAAAATTATGTAGATATCACTAAAAAGAGAGCTACTTCAATAGACACAGACAAATACACATTAGGATAAGCAATTGCTCAGTATCTGTTACCTTTTCAGCTAATGCATGTTTTTGAAAAACTACTCTCTTTCTATGTAAGAATGAATCAGGGTTGTGTGAAGGATAGTATTTTTTATGCGTACAATATAAACTAAACATTAAATTTGTGGATGACTCATTGTAACTGGAAAGAATAAAAACCTCAATGCTCTCAATTAATTTAAGATTGTAACAGCAATATAAATACTAGGTTTTAAGAGACTCTAATTTAGTGGGAATTGATTATTACCTTAAAACGAGACATACTGTGTTAGGAATATCCTGTGTAGGAGCACACGTCACTTAAAAATATTTAATTTTGAAAGTGATATTTTACTTCCAAATATGAAAATATAATAGTAGATACAAGAAACATAGACTGGTGTAATCTAAAATATGAAGTGAACAATTTACAAACGTTACAATGGGAGAAAAAGGGCAACATCTATTTTAAAGCTTATGTTTGGAAGAACAGGACAAAGGATTGTCTTTACAGTAATAGCTATGATGGCATATACCTTCACTTGGTAGTGGTTCAGGTATTTTTGGAACAGGAACAGGTACTTTCTCCTCTGGGACAGGTTTCTTGGGCACCTCAGGCACTTTAAAAAATAATAGTTCCTTTTATTTGCATGTGTATAAATGTACATATGAAACAAAAAAGACAAAGACACCTAGCACACAGAATATCGCAGTAACAGTGGCCATAACCATGAAAGACTGTTTGTGCTCCAAACAGTCTTTCCCAAGGTAGTCTACATACAACTGACACATTTCATAGACTCAGTTATGAACAAAGGAAAGAGAGACGAATAGTAAACATTTCTACTTAGGAGATGCCTCCTGGCAATATATACCTTTGGTTGGAGGAGGCTCTGGTTTTTTAAATTCTGGCTTTTTAGGTGTTGTAAGAGGCACTTCCTCTTCTGGGGCAGTTATCTCTGGCACTTCAGGTGCTTTAAAGATATTAGTAAATTTTCATTTTTGTGAACATTAAGATACATTTATACATACAATAGTGAAAAGTGTAATGACAAAAAAGAGTAAGGCATTCAAGACTTGAAGAATAAAATTTTAAGTGACAGATTATTCACTCGGATACCTAAGCACTGCATACATAAGTTAAACAAGGGAAAAAGTATTCAGAGAATAGAGAAAAGGAGAGGCTCAGTCACTGATGTATATACCTTTAACTAGAGGAACTTTATGTTTTTTAAGGACAGGCACAGGCTCTGGTATTTTTGGCACAGGCACAGGCTCTGGTTTCTTGGGCACAGCCACAGGTTTCTTTGGTACAGCCACAGGTTTCTTGGGCACAGCCACAGGTTTCTTGGGCACAGCCACAGGCTTTGGGGGAATGACCACTGGCACCTCCTCTTCTGGCTCTTCCTCCTCGGCCACCTCAGGCACTTTAAAGATATTAGTTCCTTTTACTTGACCAAGATAAAGGTCAGGCACATACAGACACAACATGACCAAGTGCCGCTCTCACCCCTCCCCACAGAATGCAGAGGGGCAAAGAGCACTCAGTACTGTGGCAACCCAGAGGGCACGGCAGGCTCTTTCAGAACACCACCGTATACCTTCAGCTGGAGGAGCTTCTGTCTCTCCAGGTGCAGCAACTGGTGCCACCTCTTCTGGTGCTTCCTCCTCCTCTTCCTCTTCTGGGACCTCTGCCTCAGGCATCTCAGGCACTTCAAAGATATTAGCGCGTTTCATTTTACATTGGTGAAAACACGTGCCAAGTAGGAACAAAAACCAGGGCAACACAGACACAGAACATCACAACAGCCAGCTCAAAACCTCACACACATGTGCAGCACCGTTTACTCAGCATGCACAACCTCAAGAATCTTGGTTTGGAAACAGAGACAGGCCAAGGGAGGGTAGGACAACGCTTAAGAGAAGAAGATTATGTATCTTCTTTGTTAAGTTATCCATGAAGACAGGTACCTCTGGGTGCTGGAAGCTCTGGTGCTTTGGCAATGACCACAGGTACTTTTTCCTCACGAGTAGCCTTCCTGGCCACCTCGGGTGCTTCAAAGATATTAGTAACAGTCAGTTTTATACATTAAACAGGAAGATGAACAATGAAACATAAACTGGAGATGCACTCATGGAAGTAACAAACTGGTCTCACGGTATCGACCTCTCTCTCTCTCTCTCTCTCTCTCTCTCTCTCTCTCTCTCTCTCTCTCTCTCTCTCTCTCTCTCTCTCTCTCTCTCTCTCTCTCTCTCTCTCTCTCTCTCTCTCTCTCTCTCTCTCTCTCTCTCTCTCTCTCTCTCTCTCTCATACAAAACCATACACGAGCACAGGCACAGAGTGGTGATGCCAAGTAGGTTCTCACTGACTGTGAGAAAACTGTTGGCTATGTTTAGGTACAGCTTGAGGGTGAGGTGTGACTTAGGATACCCCCCTCTGTACTCAGCAGCCTTCCCTCCCTGGGAGGAGAGACTGTTGTTCTCCGCCCCGCTGGGATCTGACTCTTCCCTGGGAGCAACCTCAGCCCATATCTTATCTCTTGCCATTCCTCATAAATCTGCTGGTGCTTTGCACACAGCAGTATGGGCAGTCACAGGGTGAGGAACCCAGTATTTGTCCTTTGTCCCTATTTCTGTCCTTCTCCATTTCCATTCTTTGATTATGCTTTTCTTTTTATTGGCTTATTTTCGTATCCTAAGTAGCTCTTTTGACTCAATTTTCATTTCACTGTGATAACTTCCACAGCCTGTACAGTTCACTGGATTTTATAACCATTCCTTCTTCATTATAAACTCTAAAATTATCAGCATTTTCTTTAAACATGTGATATGCTGTCACTTCTTACTTCCCTCATATGTGCATTTCTGAGTAAAAATTGGTTTTTCATTTTGCAAGATTCATGTCTATAATATACACTAACAGACTGTCAAAAGAGTCATGGAGACATTCACTGTGTCAATTTGAGATAACAAAATTGGGCAGTAACCTGAAAAACTTATGATCAAGTTTTAAAATATAACATTTTAGTATCTGCTGATTCAGAATATGAAAACAAAACAGTATATTCAAAATATTATTTGAGTTATTTATACAAAATACTAGATAAGTGAATTCCTAACTGATACACAGCACAGAACGTAGAAATTTCAGGTGATCACAAATGGATGGGATAACAGGCATCAGAAGTAACATGTAAGACAGTAAGAAACAGTCTAATTCAAGCTGATGCACAGGGCATCAAGGTACCTCGAACTGGTGCAGGTTCCGGCTTTTTTGGCAGAGTTACAGGTACGGGCTCTTCCAGAACACCTTTCTTGGGCACCTTGGGCACTTCAAAGATATTAGTATGTTTTAGTTTTGTGGGCGCTACAGATGTATATGAAACAATAAGACAATCAATAATACATGCATGCGGTCTTCTTTGAGAAAGTGCTGTGGTTACATTCAGTCATCAGTTGTGCTTTGCTTCAAACACATGGAATGACCAGGCTGTCAAATATGTCACGCAGGAGATGGGAATTCTGTGTTTAGTTTCTGTTTCTGAGTCAAGGTGGAAATGTAGAAAACATATGCCCTCTTTGTAACAGCTGATCAGGGACTTATTTATGGAATCCTACTGGTTTTGAGTATCAGTCATGTATCATTCATGACT